TAGGAAAGGATGTACCTCCAAGGATTATATATATTCAAGGAAAGGATGTACCTCCAAGGATAATATATATTCTAGGAAAGGATGTACCTCCAAGGATAATATATATTCTAGGAAAGGATGTACCTCCAAGGACCTGCACAACTTTAACTGTCCGGAGGAAAGTAGCAAAAACCAAGATCACTCCAGATATGCAGACCCAGAGGGTAAAATAGTTCATTTTTGTTTTAATATTATTGTTATTGTTATTGTTATTATTATTGTTATTGCTGTTGTTATTTTTTTATTGCTATTGTTATTTTTATCGTTATTTTATTGTTATTGATATTGTTTTGTTATTCCTTTGCTATTTTTTTGTTATTTTTATTGTTATTGTTATTGTTATTGCTATTGTTATTGTTATTGTTAATGTAATTGTTATTTTTATTATTATTGTTATTACTTTTGTTACAGTTATTGTTATTATTATTATTGTTATTGTTATTCTTTCTTATTGCTATTGTTATTATAATTGTTATTTTTATTTTTTGTTATTGTTGTTATTGTAATTGTGTACTGCAGACTGTGGTTCCTTCTACCTGTGTATTGGTGGTAAAGCTCGAAAGAATGGTTGCGGACAAGGATTGGTTTTCAAACAAGAAACAACCTCGTGTGAGAGGTAAACTTGGATTAAATCCATCTAGGGCTTAGCTGCAAACTTGTGTGTTAAAAACTCATAATTCCGATTGCTTGATCTTGATATCCGCAGTGGACATCTCTTTATATACGTTATTCCTCGAGAGTGAGATTACAATGCGGGTTCTGGAATAAAGATTAAATCAATCTGAAGATTAACTAAAAATCGAGATTAAGAATTGATCTCTACTTATATCCACATTCCACAATACAAGAGTTCCCGGCTCAGATCAAAGCTCCTTTAAGGGAAAGGATTTTGTAAAAATTAACTGAAAATTTTTATATCAAAAGTTAAAAATAAAAAGTTACTTTTTTTAGAACCCGTTATATTAAAACTATTTGACGTCAATTTTGTCAATGGTTATGTCTAACCTGCTATTAAATGGTATAGCTTTTGGAGTTAGTGAAGCAAGATGGGAAAAGTACTAAAATCCCATTACTATTACCATAATAAGTTCAATATTTAAATACAAGTTAATCGACTTAAAGTGACATTTAGACGGTATGAAATGTAATTATTGACAAAATAAACGGAAATGAAATGTTTTCAAAGCTTTATTACTTTTGGATTACTGCAGTATATATAAAGTTGTAATTTCTAACTGAACATGCAACCAATCAAACATATTATAAACAAATTATAAGTCTGATTCAAAGTGGTTCCCTTAAAAACTTATCTGCTTAAAGGGAGTGTTCGCGAAAAATGAAAGGGGGTATAGGCTTAAGGAGAAAAGTGTTAAAAACGACTCACACCGAAGAACGCAGCGTCCAAACAAATTCGGAAAGATGCAACATTCAGCTCGGATCGTAAACAAATCAATTTAATTCCAAACAAATCATTCAGATATTACAAACAATAGTCATCGATTATTTTTCGACGCATTCGTATACAGTTAATTTTTCATAATATTTTTGATTTAGTTTTTTAAAAATAATTTTCGCTGGCGCTGGATTTTCAAACATTCCCGGAAAATATGAAAATCATCGAAAAAGGAATAAATGTTTTCAAAAGTAACTCTTAGATCATAAAAAATACAAAATATTATGAAATATCAACTGTTTTTGGCGAACACTCCCTTTAGGAATTATTATGTATTGAGTATCCGAATTTTCTCTGCTAAAGTGATATTTTTCAATAAAGTACTTTTTTAAATTGCAATTGTGTAATGCAGCAAACTTTTTGCCTATTTTGGAATTTTTACGGATTTAAACGTGTAATGCATCGAAAAATAATCGATGACTATTGTTTGTAATATCTGAATGATTTGTTTGGAATTAAATTGATTTATTTACGATCCGAGTTGAATGTTGCATCTTTCCGAATTTGTGTGGACACTACGTTCTTCGGTATTTATCGTTTTTAACAATTTTCTCCTTATAGACGCAACAGATAGAAGTAATATTAGTAGCAATCAAAAGCGCTTTTTTATCGCATTAAACCTATAACCCCTTTCATTTTTCGCGAACACTCCCTTTAAGAAATAATATGTATTGGGTATCCAAGTTTTCTCTACAAAAGTCATATTTTTCAATAAAGTATTTCTTCAAGAATAAGCAATTTTATGTTTTGTTTAAAATAATAATTATTAATATTTATTTCTCTATTTACAAAAGAATTTCTTCTTCTTTGAAATTAATTCTTTTTGCTATTTTGCCAGACAAGAGACTGTTGAGGGTCCATGTGCAACCTGGTTTAATGCAACATATCTAGGTAACATTCATCAAAACTAGATAAAGGGCTTATTTATCTGTTTTAGAATATATATAATATTCCAATTTTTGTCATAATTTATAATACATCGAAAACCAAAAACCATTTTGTTGATTTCCAAATTGTGCAATACGTTATACATTGCATACTGTATGTTCGATATGATAGTGTACAGGTTTTATAAATATTCAATGCAATTGTTTTCGTGTCTTATATACGTTATACATTGCAAACTGTATGTTCGATATGATAGTGTACAGGTTTTTATAAATATTCAATGCAATTGTTTTCGTGTCTTATATACGTTGAATGAAGTTATTATAGATGATATTGAGAAGTTACTGATTTTGGTAACTAATAAAACAAGCGGGAAATTATTAAAAATTAAGTTTAAATTTGGTTTAATAGCTTGATAATTTCATTTTGTCTGAAAGACTATGATATTTATTCAATTTTGATGGAATTTATCACATATTTCCCGTTGAAGGCAGAAACCAAAATCTTTGAACAATTCTTTTAAAAAATGTAATTCTTTTTTTTAGAAAGCATTTTCCCTCCTAGAGATGAAGCAAAAGAAAAGGCATTTCAGGAGAGAAGAAAGCGGCCTCAGGTATAATTAATCCCTTTAGTTTAATGTTGATTACCTCCTTCATGCTAAATCCTACGTTACTATAAAGCCATCGAGCTAAAACAAAAATAAAAACATTAAATTAATTTAAGTATCCATGAATATAAATGGATTTAAAAGTTTTAAGATTAAAAAAATAGAAAAATTATTAAAGATCAACAACAGTTAGAAATTAGGTCAGTTCTGAATATTACGAATGAATGCACAGAAAATTATGGAGTTCTAAAATTATTCTTTCCAAAAACTTTGTTCTTTCAAATTTGTTTAATTGATTATACCCTGGAGTCTGGATTTAACTGGAGAAATAAAATAAAGAAAAATCCCATTCAAGTTAAATTTTATAGAAAATAAAAATTTATATTCACGGTACAATAAATCTGTTCCTAGGTGAAACCCCCTCCCTGAGAAATGAGATGAGAGGAAAGCCTATATAATTGAAAGTTTAAAAATATAATCATGATAATATTGCCCGTATACCACAGGATACACCCGGAGCATGGTTTCCATATTTATGCATGAAATATATTTCCTGGAAAACATATTTTCCTAATAAAGAAAATGACGCTTAGCCAAGTTCAGAAAAGTTAAAGCATCAAATACAATTTTCGGGAGGAAAATATTTTCAAATATAAATTTAGGTATTTTAAAAAAAATCAAAGTTTCTTTAATAATTTTACAATAGATAATCTGGTTGTTTTTGAGCCGAGCAGGAGGGCCAAGCCTTGGTAATTGCTAAAAAAAGTTGTCGTTAATAATAAAATAGTTTTAAAGTTTTGCGTTAAAATAATACAAACAGCATCCACATTGATCAATTGCAATCTAAGACAGGGTTGACAGGGTTGACAGGGTCGCATGATTTACAGCTCTAACTTGATTTTGCTTTTTTGGTAGCCCTAAACATGAACATTTTAAAACTATAAAAAGCTATAGTCTTTAAGAAGTAATTGGCAAAATTCTCTTTGATTTTTGCGTGGGAACGTGAGAGCTTGCAACATTTTAATCTTTTTAATTATCACTCCTTGCTGTTATCTACGCAGTTATCTGCAGTGAACAAACCGTGTATAGTGTGGGTTTTAGTGGAGAACGTGAATTTTTTGAAATAGAAAAACTTTTCGTTTTTGATTGTAGACTAGGACTCGCGAGGTTTGGTGAATAGGAAAGAAAGTATATTTCATTTGTTGTAAAGTTTGAACAATAGTTCACTCAAAGGTTTAAGAACATATTTAACAAAAACAAGTCATAAAATTACTTAATGAATGACTTATAATTTTAATATCTTAAAAGAGAAGATATTTTTGATTTGTCACAAAGTTTATAAGTTTAGTATTAGACAGGGTTTAAAAAATGAAAATAGAGACAAGCTCGTTAACATAGAGACATGGTTAGTAAATATTTTACAATTTTTTTACTTTTTTTAATTTCTAATTAAGAGAACGTTTTCATATCGGCCGGGTGACCGAAAAATGGAAACAAAGAAAAAATTTTCAAAATATCTTTATTAATGACTTCTTTTTTTTACTTTATTTTAGGCCCCAGAATTCCAGAGAAAATCTTCATTTCAACAAAATCGTCGGCCGGTCGATCCTCTTCAGGTGAACATTTACAAACTTTTGTTCTGTTCTTTCCAGTTTTAAAAAACTTAAACCTGTTTGTTTGATTGTTTGTATGTCTGATTAAACTCAGAGGTAACTACGTTATGGAATCACAGAAATGTTATTTAACTTGGTTTAAAAGTTGTGGATTGACTTCTACAGAGAAAGCAAGTATTCTATAAAATCAATAGAATTGTCTGTATTTCAAATCTAAATTTGTTTTGCTTGCTTTGGCAGTAAAACTTCAAAAAATCTGTGGCAAGAGCATTTTAAACTTTTTAGAAATAGATTTTACCCTGTTAGGTTTAGCAAAAAAATGTTTGTAACTTTTTTCTTTATCGTAAATATTTTTTAGGATTTTTTGCTTCTCTTCTTCCGTATCAATATATTTTTTTTATTTAGGATCTAGAATCCCTTCCTCCCCAGCTGGCGGAGTTGGCTTCAAACTCAGGCCTTGGATTAAGAGCACAGGAGGTAGTAGTTATTTATTGCTCAATGCCGCGATTTATTTATATAGATCCATTTTATTTTTTTTATGCAGTCATATCTTTTTTTAGTAATTTTTCATCTTTAAAGACCAAAAGTTATCTTTTGGGTCATGCCAAGTACTAATCAAAATTTGGACCTATAAGATTTACGGTCATTACCAGTTTTAAGCGGAACAAAAGTCGTCTTTGTTTTAACATTGATTAAAAATAAAGCAGAAAATTTTGTTATTGGTTTCTGCTATGGATGCTTTAGCTCTGAAAATGTTCTGAGGTGGTAACTCAAGTATTGTGGATATCGAGATCAATGATTGATCTCGTTCTTTGTTAATCTACAGATTAATTTGATCTTTATTCAATGTCCTGTGAAGATATGTAATAAGATTCCAATTTTTAAACTGAAGCATTTCTTCTGCAGTGTATAGTTACAGTTATACAGTTTAGAATTGTAGATCCAACAGAAAAGTTCCAAGCTCAGGCGAAATTTTTGGCAATATTTCTTATGAAAAGGCTTGATAAAGACGACTTTCATCCCGCTTTACACTGGTATTGACTGTACCATTTTTACGTTTATATGGAAGACTGAAATAATCAAACATAAAAATGTCCAAATATTTTGAATTAAATTTAGACAAGAAGACCTGGACCAGTTGAGAATACGATTCAAGAAGACCCAGCTGTCCAGGTTTAGAAATTAATTAAATAATAATTAGAGTTTTTTAATTAACTTGAATAGTGGAATTTTGAACCTATTCAACAAATTCTAAAGAAAGGACGGTTAAAACCCAAATAAACAAAAATATGCAAAAATTATTTTTTGTTCCAGGACGGAGAGAGACTGGAATTCTTAGAAAGTTTAAGAGGAAGAATTCCCCTTCAAGGGGTTAATCGAGATTCTCCAACCAGGTTTTTTTTGGAATATTCAAGGGGCTGTAGTATCAAAATCTAATTTCAAGTGACCAACCATTTGAAGATTCTAAATGTTGCCATTTCACCTTTATCAGATCAAATATAATTACGATTTCCTTATTTGTCCAACTTAAAATTAACTATTTTCAATTGCGAGTTGTTTATGTCTCAGAAACATTGAAGAAAATAACAGAACTCAGACAATTTCAAAAAGAAAAACATCGATATCATCCTCATTGTGACTCGGATAAAGGTTGAAAGGGTATTGTTGTTAATCTTAAATGCTACTTTGAATGAAATTTCACTTGAAATTACGTAAACCTGCTGTCCAGTTGATTTAACATGATTTATAGAGAAGTTTTTAAGATGTTGTAATATATTCTAAACCTTTGTTTTCGCAACATTTTTGTCTTTCTAACTTTTGGCACTTTTTTCCCCCAACACGTAATTGTGTTTTTATTCCCAACTCGTAATTATTGTTCTTTTAGAAGTCCATTTACAAGACCTCCAAAGCGGAACCCCGGAGGTCAAAGAGGCCAACCTCAATTTTCCTCTGAAGACCGCGGTCAAATTTCAAATCTCTCTGAAATTCCGGAACTTAGGTTTGTTAATATTTTTAAAATAAGCTAGTATCTAAATAATCTTTTTTACATTTCCTATTTTGTAGTGAACCTGAGACAAGTTTTGGTAGGAGACGAATCCCACAGTCAAGAAATCCTCAAAGGTGAATATCATTATTATCATCATTATATGTATCATCAGTATCATTATTATCTTAATCAATATAATTATCATAACTTTTTTCATTTTAATGATTAATATCTTTTTCGTAATTATCATCATTATTATAGTTCATAATTATCGTTGTTATAATAATTATTATCATTATTATGATTATTATAAGTATCACTTTATCGTATCAATTTTAGTGTGAACACTGCGGATAGTCTGGGTCCTTCAGATCTAGAATCATTCTTGAACAGAGATCAAGGATCGTTTGGCGATCTTCCATCATTTACTGCTCCTTCAGAGCAATCTCTACCTTCCTCACTCCCGACATTTTCAAGACCGGGGTTTAGAACTCGTCCACAAGCCTCTTCACAATCCTCTTCATCCTCATCATCATCATCATCATCTTCTTTATCTTCTTCAAGCTCAGTGTCGTCTTCTGATTCTTCCGACTCAGGTAATAATATCGAGGAGTGTGATATTTCGAAATTATGCGGACAGTAAAATCTCTCGAATAAAATTTGCTGAAAATACAACGTAAACCTGGCTCATATCGTCTGCACATTACATATAGAAGGTTTATCATGTGATATCTTCTACAGGGTTCGGAGCAAGGAGACGAGTCCCCGTGTCCAGAGGATCAGTACCAAGGCGGGGACAGGACCAAGGTTCAGTTCTTAGGCAAGGGCAGGAACAGGACTCAGTGCCAAGAAAAGAGCAGGGTTCAGTTCAGGAACAAGAGGAACAGGAGCTTAACGCAGAGAGGTAAGCTAGAAATGACAAAAAAAACTTTTATATCGGTTGGCAGCGCCAAACCTTTGTGAAGATTAATCTAAAGATCTCGATAAAGAGAAAATTTCTACTTAAACACTTTATAACAAATTGTGTCAAAATAACGGTGTTACAAATTCTTATTTCCAGTGCACCAGGACGCTCTCAGGTCCGTGCCGGAGTAAGACGAAGACCTGTCGGGTCAGCTCCACGTGGAGGGGGTGGAGGAGGGAGAGGAGATGGAGGAGAGGGTGCGAGGAAAGAACCCCTAGGAGGTAGACAACGAGGAGGAGAAGGTGTACGCCGAGAACCACAAGGACAAGGAGAAGATGATGGAAGACAAGAAGTACAGAGGAGAGCAAGGTATTTTACTCACCAAAAAGAAACTGACACTGAGTTACAAACTCGGCTTTGCGACATTTAAAAGTGCAAAACAATTTTCAGTTTTGAACAAAATTAGTTTGGTGAAAGTGTACGTAGGTGAAGGTTGTTTAATAAGGTTGGTTACCATTGATGCGCTTCAATGTACGGAAAATGTCGTCTGCTAAGATAGATAGATAAAAACCTCATATGACGTCACTATCGTCTATATAATAAGTGACGTCACATGAGGTTTTTACCTATCTATCTTAGGAGACGACATTGTCCGTATATTGAAGCCCATCGAGAGTAACCAACCTTATTATACAACCTTGACGTAGGTGTATTCTTTAAATTAATAGCATTAGCATTTTTTGCTGAGATCAGAGAAATGTCTGAAAACATGCAAATTTTTCTCCCTACTAATTTAAATACAACAATTAAAAAACAAATCGTTGTAACTTCCTTTTATCATTCTTAGGCCTGCTAGTCCTCAGAGTGTTTTGTCGGAGGAAACTATTGATAATACCTCCGATAACCTCTCAAACTTCCCCTCCTTCGGAGGCAGAGTGCAAGATTCTCAGACTGACTCAGTTCCCTCTGCAGGTGCATTTAATTTCTTTGAATTTATTTTTTCAATTTTATCTTAAAGGGATGTTCACCTACATGAAAGTTGGTGAATGGTTTAAAATGTCTTCTTCCATAATTTGTTAAGTTGTTTGATACCAAAGAGAATAATAAAAAATATTGTATGGGTGTCATCTCAAAGTAAAATTATTTTCAACGTAAAATATATTTGAGTAAAATATTTTTAACAAACTGAACTACAAAAAGTATTTAATATCTAATCCAGTATATGGAAGAAGACATTCAAAACTATTCACCAATTGTTATGTTTCGTGGGACACCCTGTATCTAAAATTAAGTAAAATAATGAAACCCCGTGTTAAAAAATGCAGTAAAATAATTTCCATATTATCGTTCAAAAATTCTAAAATTTAGATATTAAATTATTTTGATAAAGTTTCTTTTAAAACTTGTCAAGTTTAATGATGATGGTGCGAGTAAGGTGCATAGTTGAATAAATTAAATAAGGTGCAAGAAAAATTTATATTTTTAATGACAATTTTAATATTTTAATTTCTAGGGCCTCCACCTAAAAGGGGTAGATTAGAGGTTACCCAGCTCAACTCTCTACCTCCACTCAGGTTAGAATTAAATCATTTTTTAAATTAAAATAATAACAAATTTTTATTTTTTTTATTTTTCAGAATTTGTTTTTGTAAAGTTCCGCTTTAATTTTCTTATCAAATAATAATCAATAATCACTGTCCCTTTGATAAAAAAAATGCCATTTAAAATTGACTTCGGTAACCTTTCAACCATCTATTAAGTGAGGAGATACGTGGATACGCGCGTTAACAATTTCAAGATAGAAAAACAAAAATATCCTCATCATTTACTCTCAGTTAAAATGTCAAAGGGACTCGTTGTGAATCTTTGATGCTCATTTAAAAATTCGTTTTCAATATTATATAATACTCTCATATTTTATACGCCATTTTTAGATCCATTGAGGAAGAAGACGACTTTTCTAATTTCCGACTAAATCGTCAGCAATCCCGTGGCCGCCAATCTTAGATTCTTGTCAAATCATCAAAATAATAAAATATTAAACTTTCAAAAAATAAGTAATTAATAATTCGAATTTAATAGTTGTTTAGAAGAATGTCAGTATTATTTATAAATACAAATGTTCATGAATAAATCTGTATTGCAATATTTTTTATCATGTTTTTTTAAGAGAGATATAAAATATGAAGTTTCGAACAAACATAAATAATTTCACACACGATTTTATTCCCTGAAGTGTTAAAGGTAGAAGAAAATATCTTATGAAAATCAACCTTTAAATTAAAAACTGCTAAGACTTCAAATTAAAACTAATGGAAAGCTATAGTTGTAAACAAGTGTTTCTTCAGGTACGTGTGTAATGCATGTAATGCACAATGTATGATGTATATTTTCTTTTATCTCTGATTTGAGTAAAAAGTGTTGGATCTACAAAATACATATAAACTGTTTATTATCGGATATAAAATATAAATACATTTTCTTGGTTTCATGCAATATATCTAATTTATTTGATTAGAATCAGTGGATCTGATCAAATCAAATTGATTAGATTCCATAGATCTGATCAAATCAAATTGATTAGATTCAATATAATATCTGATCAAATAAAATTGAATAATTAAAAAAAAACACAAAACACGCTCCAATGAGGGGTTTAAAAATAATTTTATCATTTTATTGGATTATCAATTCTTTTTAAATCTCATCATATTTAACTTAATCAGTTTGGTTTTGATCATGAGCTGGGTTGGGTCATGTGCTGGGCCTTGGTTGGATCATGTGCTGGGCTGGATCATGAGCTGGGTTGGATCATGTGCTGGGTAGGATTGTGTGCGGAGTTGGATCATGTGCTGGATTGGATCATGAGCTGGGTTGGATCATGTGCTGGGTAGGATTGTGTGCGGAGTTGGATCATGTGCTGGGTTGGATCATGTGCTGGGTTGGATCATGTGCTGGGTTGGATCATTTGCTGGGTTGGATCATGTGCTGGGTTGGATCATGTGCTGGGTTGGATCATTTGCTGGGTTGGAGGGATCATATGCTGGGTTGGATGATGTGCTGGGCCTGGGTTGGATCATGTACTGGGTTGGATCATGAGCTGGGTTGGATAATGTGCTGGGTTTGATCATTTGCTGGGTTGGATCATATGCTGGGTTGGATGATGTGCTGGGCCTGGGTTGGATCATGAGCTGGGTTGGATCATGTGCTGGGCCTGGGTTGGATCATGAGCTGGGTTGGATCTAATTGTATAGGTGCTGGTTTGAGTTTGCGAGAATAGGCAAGATATGTTTCTGACTTAGGTTTCATAAAATTATATATAGTGCACCACGGTAGGACTTGATCTGAAATTAAAATAGATTGATAATAAAATAAATGCTCAATCAGAAAACTCTAGACTAGGAAGTCTATTAGACTCAAGTTAAGATTTTAAATAGTCCAATGAACACGAACAATTTCAAAGTTCAAAGTTAAAAAAATTTTGTTTTATATACGTATATATGTTATATATTATATATGTAATTCAAGATCTAACTTTTTGTGTTATATCGTGACAAAATCATATTTTCTCAAACAAAACTATGAATAATTTGAGAATATGGTCCATTTTGGTATTTAGGAGAACATATCAGAGCGATAAGATTGGTTGTGTTTCTAATTATTAAAAGTAAGGTATCATGATTTTTTTTCTTCATCAAATAGGAGAACGGGCCGGGCATCATCAAATGTTACGTGGATCAATAATCGCCTAAACGTCTTTTATCAACAACTTTAAAATTAAAATGAAAAAAATGTGTATTACAATTGATAGATAAAAACCTTACTAACCTTTGATTAGATGAAGATGATGATATACATATTCTTGTAACATTTCTATCCATGATTGCAGCTGGAGCAGGTTTCCTGGCCTGCTCCAGTTCAACAGGTTTACTCAGTTTACGTTCATACAAATACAAGGGAATACTTTGTTTTCGTTCTCTAGCTTGGGATAGATCTTCTCGTTTCTCAAGTTTAACTGCATTTTTCTGATTTGCTGGGGTTCCTTGATTTGCTGGGGTTCCTTGAATTGCTAAACTGTAGTTAATTGGAGCAAAGTGTCCTGTGGTTTGGTTTCTATCCATGCTTGTAGGATTACTGATTGAATATTCACTCTCATACAAGCTGTCACAGCTTCCTGATCTAATATGATATCAATGATACTACTTTCAAAATATTTGTATCAAACTATAAACTTTAAAGGAACTTTAAAGCTGAAAGAGATTCCTTGTTAAATCTTTTGTATAACAGATTTACAACAATACCCTTTAACTCTGTATCACAATCATAAAGATATTTGTCTTTTTTCACAATTTTCATTCTGCATTCATCTAAAAATTACTTTTATTGATCCTGCTATTGAATTTTTTTTTTTTTAAGGAAGTATAAAACTAAATTTTGCTTAGATAACGAGTTTATGGGTACCATTGTGAATCAAGGGTATCATTAGTCTATAGTTAACTGGAAACCATTGTAATAAAATAATGTATTGAAAACTTATTTTGATTTCATTTATATCTTTCCTAAAACTCATCTTATTCTTCTTCACAATCTCCTCAAAGCTTTGTCTAGAGTCTCGGTTTGAGTTAATTTTCTCTTTAACATCATTCTCCTTGGAGAGTTCTTTTTGTGGAGAAGGATCCTTAACCGAGAGTTTGTTTCCTAGTTTTTCAACATCCTTGAAATTAGCCAAATCATTTTGTGAATTTTTTCTTTTATTTTTTTTCTTATTCAGATTCGTAATTGTTGTATTATTTGTCAAAATATTTTAGTAAAATATTGATTTGACTTTTCCTTGACTTCTTCATACACTGGAGACATCCCACATTCTGGTAGATACTCCCAACTATCTGAGTTCTCCTAGGTTATATATTTAGGTAGATAGTCCCAACTATCTGAGTTCTCCTAGGTTATATATTTAGGTAGATAGTCCCAACTATCTGAGTTCTCCTAGGTTATATATTTAGGTAGATAGTCCCAACTGTCTGAGTTCTCCTGGGTTTTATATAGTGCATAGTCCTTTTCATATAATTTACCTGTGAGTTTACAAGAGAAGAGAACACTAGTGGAACAGGGAACATTTTTTTCATGACAGCGCTAAAAATAATAAAATTACTTGGAAACAAGCCAAACTAGAACAAGGTTCTCCAGGCTGTATCAGAATAAATCTCGACTGAATTTTAATTTGTCACTTAAAGGGACTGAAAAGGAAAAATGAAAGGGGGTATTGGATGAAACCTGAGAATCTCAGGCGTTGAACCGTGAACGATATATATAAGACATCTATCTGATGTTTCTGTCTCGAGAAATTGATATAAACTTGTGTTAAATTTATACGAAAATTCAAATATATGCATGTTTGTATAAAAGTTGTAGTATGAAACAGATCATTTTCCACAAATACGAAACCAATCTGAAAACGACGATATCCCACAGAAACCAATGAATCTGAGGTTTGCTCCTGTTATGATCATTTTATTTTTATTTAGCATTTTCAAAAGATATAATTAATAATAATATAACATATAGTCCGTATAGTCTGTATTACGTCACCATAACTTTAGCCAATGACCGTTCAGTATACTGGTTACGTGATTTCCGTCTGTATCACGCGACCAGTGTACCGCACTCGCATTGGCGGAAGTTCTTGTGACATAATACGATATTTCTTTGAAAGTAAAACATTTATAGTTATAGAAAGGCTAGTTGCCTTTATTACTTCTCCCTGAATTAACCAAATTAGGGAACGGTCCATTTAGAATGTCTAAGTCATCGAAATGAAAAGTTCGAGCTCGTAAGAAAAATTGCGCAAATAAATATTGTTTCAATATTGTTTTTGCAAATGGGAGGAATGCAGCATTGGGCGAAAATGTTTGCCACACCCTTCAGAAAAACAATTCTTTAAATAAAATATGCAACTGCAAAACACTTTCAATTTAGATTTTTTGAAGAATTGATCAACAAAAAATGATGACCTTTACCCCACAAACCAGGTTTTTTAAAATGTAGATATTTCAATAAAAAATTTGCAAATATTTATGTTAAAAAATGTGAGTAATAATTGAAACATTAAAGTTAAAGAAAATATTTGCAAATATTCATGTTAAAAATGCACAAATCCAGTTTTTCCTTCGAGCTACATTCAAAAATAGGGATTTCTGAAATAGCTGAGATTTTGTAAAAGGCTATAGAAGGATACACCCCACTCTACAATATAGAAGGATAAACCCCACGTACTCTACAAATGAAGTGTCACTTGAAACTATAGTACTTTTAACTCAATATACAGTATACACGGTTACCCGCAATGGATTAGAATGTAAAGACGACTGGACGGAATTTGTTCACTCTTATTTCATTCTAGTTGAAGTGCCCGGTGTTGCCCGTGTACATTTTTTTTATTTAAAAAAAACCGAAACTTGTTTAGCATTTGTTACTCCCTGGGCACCCATGGGTTCCCACAACAAATTACAGCCCATTCTGTCCAGGCGTTTCGCCAGCTATAACTAACATATTAATATACATGAGCGAAGAGCTTTATCATATAGATTTTCAAGGATCCCTGCACCTGTAAACTTGTTTTTTTTCTTATTCCTATCAATTTACTACATATATTTAGGACAGAAACAGATGGGAAAGATTTTTCTGTGAAGTTTTTTTACTAAGACCTCACCTCATTTCAAAAATCAAGGAATCAATTCTAAAGTTGTGATTTTCAAAAAAGCTGTAAACTTCAGTAGATTTAATTATTTTTAAATTTTTTTTATTAATGTCGAATATAGGGAAATATAATTTTCAAAATGTCTACCTAAGTTTTCTCATAGGTTGTATATTGTTGTTATTTCTCCGAACAGAGAGATTTATTGAAACTTTCCGGACAAAGCTTTTCCTGAAGAAAATATACTTTTAAATGTCGTCGTCCAAAATAATTCGACGGAAAATTTCTTATTTTAAATACAAAAATAATACAAATAATATCACCTATGTTGTTTATTCTCATTCTTTTTCTCCAGTTCCTCGAATATATTTGAACAGCTTTTCGATAAATTGTTGGCAACCTTTTTAAAAAATTATAGAAATTTAAATAACTAGCCTTAGAGGGCCCATCTTTTAAATTAATTGTGAACATGTTCTCTTTGTGTAATTCGCGGATTTTCACGAAAAATTTCGTGGATTTTCAAAATTTAAAAAAATTTAATGAAGATTGAATTTTGATGCAGACAAATATTTAAAATTTCAAAACCTTCCCTGGGGTCCCTAGATGTCCCACAAAAAATTTGGGCCCGATCGGTTCAGCCGTTTTGACGTTTATTGGATACACACAGACAAACAGACATACAAGCCAAATTTATATATAGATTTGATAGATTAAAGGCACTTTCAATATGATTTCATCTTTTTTACAACGGTACCCCGAAACCATAAAACCTTTTTAGAGTCGAATATTGAAAATATCATCGATTTTAATCTAAAAATTTCTAATTTTTAATTTTTAAAAATTGGGAGCAAACCTGGTGATGATTGTTTGCTTTATATTGGTTCACAACAACAGAATTGTTCTTTCTGAATCTAACTGGTCGCTGCTGAATATCTGGGTTCGAACTCTGCAATAACTCCTTGCTCTGCAACTGGGTCTCCACAGAGTATTTTCTGCTCTGCTCGGTTGGTTCTGCAGAGTTTGTTTTACTCTGCTCCTTTGTATTATCAGGACTCTGTTTAGATGGGTACTTGTCTTCTATGTCGGGAATCTATGAAATTAGAAAGAACATAATGTCATACATTTAGTAAAAAAAACTCAACTTAACGTGCATTTAATATCTTTCTTTTAAAATAACATATTAGTCATAATACGAGCCCAGTAACCAGACACCACATAACCGGACCGTAGCATGTTTTGAATACTATCTTAGTTTGTATTTTACATGTTATCTAGCGGAAGTGGTGTGTTCGCTTAATAAACATTGGATACACAGAAGAGCTTCTACTAATTTTATATCGGTAGAAAAATAAAGGATCATGAAATCCCCATTAAACTTTGTAATCCAATCTTACCCACCCTTCAATCCAGTATATATACGCGTATTAACATAAGTTCCAATCATCAGTATCCTTACATCTGAACCATTAATGGTTTTGAGCGTATTAGGAGCTATATTGTGCATTTCAGTACCTATGCAGTGCCTATGTAGTGTATTTATGTACCTATGCAATGCCTATGAGTACCTATGCAGTGCCTATGAGTATCTATGCAGTGCCTTTGTAGTATATTTGAGTACCTATGCAGTGCCTATGTACTATGTAGTGCATTTGAGTACCTATGCAGTGCCTATGCAGTGTATTTATGTACCTTTGCAATGTCTATGAGTACCTATGCAGTGCCTATGTAGTACATTTGAGTACCTATGCAGTGCCTATATATTGTGCATTTGAGTACCATATGCAGTGCCTAAAATATGTACCTACATATAACTAAGTTTCTATGACTGTGCGAATCAATCATTGCCGATCAGTACCTGTTTGTTTTGTACCTATTAGAACCACTTGGATGAATTAAAGGTTTGGCGGGTTCTATCCTTCTATCCTTCTATCCTTCTTTCCTTCTATCCTTCTATCCCTCTATCCTTCTATCCTTCTATTCTTCTATCCTTCTATTCTTCTATCCTTCTATCCTTCTATCCACCTATCCTTCTATCCATCTATCCTTCTATCGTTCTATCCTTCTATCCTTTTATCCTTTTATCCTTTTATCCTTCTATCCTTCTATTCTTCTATTCTTCTATCCTTCTATCCTTCTATCCATCTATCCATCTATCCTTCTATCCTTCTATCCTTCTATCCAACCACATCACCTGAGCTATAATGCTCTGTGTAAACCTACGGTTAGTAGTTTATTATTTGTCACATTTTTAAAATGTTTAATGTTGCTTTTTTACGATGCCCCCCTGTAGAGCAGGCAATCTAATCCTTTTATCTGCAGCTATGTCCCCCCCCCCACCACTTCTTCTCCTGTCAAACCCCTGCAACGCAGGACTTTTGATTACGAATAAAGTTGAGGGACTAACAAGTGAACAACAAAACAATGTCTATCTATTTTATACACTTTAACCCAGAACTAACCAGGCATACAAATAATTTTAAAATTTCGCCTATAAAAACGTATATTATGCAGGTCTATGTTAAATCCAGCTGTTTACAAAGTAATGTTATTTACACTAAAAAATGGAATCAATGGAAAATTTACATCCCAGAGTAAGTGAGAGTAATTGATACACTTATTGGTTGTATATGAAGTACAAGAAGAGTTTAAACTATTTACCTGATAAACATTTGTCTCTAGATCTACAGGAACACTGTAATCTTCCTCCTCATAACATCCTTGATCATCATCATCATCATCATCATCATCATCATCATCTACGTAATCATTCATTCCCTCATCTCTCATTCCCCCGGCCTTGTACTCCAAGGGTTCCAGGAGTATAGAGGGTTCCTGGAGTATAGAGGGTTCCTGGAGTATAGAGGTTTCCTGGAGTCTAGAGGGTTCCTGGAGTATAGAGGGTTCCTGGAGTCTAGAGGGTTCCTGGAGTCTAGAGGGTTCCTGGAGTCTAGCGGGTTCCTGGAGTCTAGCGGGTTCTTGTGGAATATGTATCCGAGAAAGTTCATCAGTACTTGATAAGCATTTATTCAGCAAAGAACTAGAAAAAAGCTACAGATATACACTCACTAGCTACTACGGTTGCGGGATGTTATTTTACTTAATTGTCCCTAGGGACCGTTAGATAACTTAATATCCCGGTGTTGGGGATATCATGGGTTAAAATAAACAACGTAAACATTATCAAAAACTAATTTAGACGTTAGAAACTGTGCTTGCAATAAGTATCTTCAAATATGATAAGAAAATATCGTTCAATCTCCAATTTAGCCTGCAGTGCTTTTCTTATTTAGTTTTTAATCAGACCTGAAAGTATCTTGTATAACGGAGTCTTGGTGTAAAACTGATTGAATCACTTCAAGATCACGTGATTTCGTTTGATCAGGGTCGTTCCTATACAATACAATAAATATTAATTAAATTCATAGTAATTTGAAGTAATCTAATATTCAAAGAATGGCATACATCGATTCACAATGGTATCATTGACACCTAAACCTTAGTTTTTCTAGAACGAAAAGTGTCTGATATATTCTCAATTCTTTCTAAATCTAGAAATTCACAAGTAAAATTGATATATAATTCATAATTTATACAAAGCTATTAAGAGTACCGTTGAGAATCGGACATAACACTCTAACAATGGAGGGTCAGCTGAAATTACGTTTACATTTAACTTTATATATAAATATTTGTAACCTGCTCAATAAAGAAGAAAAATACAACAGATATGTAAGTTTCTCTTTTTTCTTTGTTTTTAATCTACTCTTCCAATGATTAGGCTTTATTATTTACATACTTTTGCTTGTGCCAATAAACTGGTGAGTTGACCCATATAGTAGATTTATCTACCTAAACACTGGTGAGTTGACCCATATAGTAGATTTATCTACCTAAGCACTGGTGAGTTGACCCATATAGTAGATTTATCTACCTAAACATTGGTGAGTTGACCCATATAGTAGATTTATCTTCCTAAACACTGGTGAGTTGACCCATGTAGTGGATCTATCTACCTAAACACTGGTGAGTTGACACAGATAGTGGATTTATCTACCTAAACACTGGTGAGTTGACCCATATAGTAGATTTATCTACCTAAACACTGATGAGTTGACCCATATAGTAGATTTATCTACCTAAGCACTGGTGAGTTGACCCATATAGTAGATTTATCTACCTAAACATTGGTGAGTTGACCCATATAGTAGATTTATCTTCCTAAACACTGGTGAGTTGACCCATGTAGTGGATCTATCTACCTAAACACTGGTGAGTTGACACAGATAGTGGATATATCTACCTAAACACTGGTGAGTTGACCCATATAGTAGATTTATTTACCTAAACACTGGTGAGTTGACCCATATAGTGGATTTTGTTCTCTGTTTTCCAACCATGGAAACATACGGAGAATCCGATCTTTGGAATCCAGCTGAAATTATAATTAATCGTTTATCAATATCACAAAAATATCATCATTATTACATCGTGTTTTTATTTTCATCAGAACTCGTTTTAGCATTTTGATTTTTATTGTTATGAATATATTTATTTCTTCTGTTAATATTATGTCTAATACAGGTTGTCCCACAAACACAATTGATTGAAAAGTAAAGAACATGGCGTCTTCTCAATATCTTTGCAGCATTTATTTGATGATTTAATTTAACAATTATGATTCTTGAACATGAATAATGAACTTCTTTCTTTATTTTTGAAAACACAAAAATGAAAAAAGGCATAAAACATTTTAGAAATGCTATAATTAGGATTCCTGATTGTAAGAACCATTTTTGTGAAATTTGGTCTATAAATGAATGTTTCATATTATTTTCAAAAAACACACACTTTATTACGTTGTAATCTTTAAAATACAGATAAGGTTTACTATATTTTGGAAAGGTTGCAATCCATACAGTTACCTCTTTTTTGATGTAAATTTTGTGACTAAACTGCTTTGTGAATACTCAAAGAAAATTTTCATGTTCAGGAGGACACCCTGTATTATCGTGTTTTTAGTGAATTTTTAAACCTGGAGCTGATGATTTTCTATGTGGTTCCATAATCTTCAAGCATACCGGTAACTCCTCTCTATAATAGAGTTTAAGAATAACACAATCTCAACATCTTTGCAATTAGTTTGATGCATAAATATATATTGCATTATGTATATGTGTGAAGGCATTGCAATACAATTATGTGATTTTTATCAATCGTCAGCAGTAATTGTTCTCTTCGACCTATAGTTGCACACAAAGTAATATATTAAGTCTTGTATCTTATATTATAGGTTCCCTACATTAGGTAGTCATTGAAGGCTCATCATCCTTTGTATGTAAAATATTTAGATTGCACTTGTGCAACTATATGTTTTCTAACTACCCTTATTGAAGAGCTTTTGAAAAGGAAAAAAATGTTTTAAAGGAATTGAGTCTTTGTCACAAACTCAGATTTTCTAATACCTATATCTTTGCAACCCAATGTCGTAGACCTTAGATATTTCAAACTATGAGTGTCCGCCATCAGGTTGCAAAAACTCATTTTCTTTATAATATGTATGAACTGGATAAATTTGCAGTTCTCAAACTTGAGCTTTACATGAAAACTAGAGCTGCGAGCTACAAAAGTATAAGAACAGCATATTCAAAATACGCTTATGGGCAGTGCATTCCGGTAAATTTGATGTCTGGTTAAAATTCAGCAAGCCTTAGTATTTATACTCATTTTTCGCGTTTGGAGCTATTACACTCTTTGTTGTCTATATTCTTTTACACATTTTCAAGAGGTTTAAAATAAAGATCAGAACATGACTAAAACTAATCCAAAATAGACAGTATGTGTATACTTTGTTGTATAGTTAGTTTTGCGTTGCATATGTTTGGTAGTCTATTCGATTTCTATTTTTTGTTTTAAGATGATTACGCAAGATTTTAAGGATCCTAGTGCACTACAGTGGGAGGATCTTTTTCAAAACTAAAATGGCAACCTTTAACGAAACATGGAGTGACAGCTGATTATTATAGATTTTAATCTCAAATTTGAAATATCAAATGCATTAGTTTTGAAATGGAAAGTTTAAGATTTGTTTGTTATTTAGATGCAGAATCTAATAATTAATATCGAATCTGATCTTTGATTTACATTTTTAATTGTTTCTGTATTTGCAAAATGATTTGGTTATTCATTCAAAGACTGCATATTTTATTTAAACTTTAGATAATCTCTCTTAGATAATCTTAAACTCTCATTCCTTTGGAGTTACTATGTGTGTTAATATTTCAAAGTACTGAAAAAACTGTAAACGGTTGGGTGGAGGGACTAATTATTAGATTATCTAAATGTGATCAGTAAAAATGTTCTAAAATGTTCTTTATACAGTCTCTAATTTCCTACATCTGGTGGATATATTGGAAACTAGAAATCTCCTGCGGCCAAAATGAGAGAGAAAAATGGGAAATTCCACGTCTGCTAACAATTTAGCAAGATTTTAGTGCAGAAAATAGTTTGCAACCTAAAATTTTGCTCGGGGTGGTTTCAGCTGATTAGTATGCAACATGGTTGTAATAAAAAACAATATTGAGGTTTGTGGTCGGGGAAAAGTTAAGATCGTTTATATTTTATCAGATACTCCCTTCAAAAATGCAATCATAGTTTTATCTCCTTTTTTTCCTTTATATTTTTCCTAGTTTTCTGATATTCCTCTCTTTTCTCTTTTCCTTTGCAGATTTTACTGGGGTTCTTTCCTTAATTTCTTTATCTCATCTTCTTTTCTGATATTCCTCTCTTTTCTCTCTTTACCTTTAATCTGCACTTTTTGCCATGCATATCTTCCTTTTTTCCGGTTTTCTGGTTTTGCCTTGCACACCTTCCTTTTTATCCGGTTTACTGTTTTTGCCTTACACACCTTCCTATTTTATCCCGTTTTTGCCTGACACACCTTNATCGTATCCTGTTTTTGCCTGACACACCTTCCTTTTTATCCGGTTTACTGTTTTTGCCTTACACACCTTCCTATTTTATCCTGTTTTCTGTTTTTGCCTGACACACCTTCCTTTTCATCCGGTTTACTGTTTTTGCCTTGCACATCTTCCTTTATCATCCGGTTTTCTGTTTTTGATCTTCCTCAGTTTTCTCTTTTCCGTTTTCTTTCTCTTGATTTCGATCTTCCTGACGATATTCTTTACACCTTGATCGTATCAATAATGTTGTAGATATCGTCATTTATTTCTTTTAGAAAATTTCCTCAACTCCTTCTGAAGCAGAAATGTGCAAATCAACTACAATTGAAAATAAACAATTTTCGAGGAGAAGTTTATGGATATCTCATGTATTCGTTATCAGACAACTATGTTTTAAGGGTACCGTTGTAAATCGGACATGCAGATTTGAATATTATTTACCTGGTGGTTGAATAGTAGTTTACTAAAGAAACCAAACTGTCAAACTCCAGTTCAGAATCCTCTAGTTAATCAATCAATCAATCAATTAATCAATTCTTCATTCATTTAATCAACCAAACACTCAAACAATCAATCAATCCATAAAAATCGATCAACTAAAATGAATTATGAATCATTCCAGAATTGCATGAACACAAATTGAAATTTACAATTGATTTATCAAAAATTAACAAAGAATGAACTAAAATCAAAAAAGCTCGTCAAAATCCTCAAAACTTTCTTAATCAAACTTATCAACTCGCAAACTACGAAATTCAAATCAATTATATAGTTGATTTATTGATTCCTAATGCCACAGCTCCGTCTTTGGATAAAATTATGAAATGTTGAATGTCGTCTTTCTTGCGCCCTGTTTTCACAGACAACGCTAGGGTTCCTAAAAAGATTTTAAGTTGGAAATTTAAAATCATCACTTTTTTGTTAAAATTCATTTGGATAAAATGGTCAGAGGAAAAGTTTGGATTTTAGAAAAACTTGTTCACCTGGCTGCGATGACTGTCTAATCAGAAAACACTAAAAAATTAAAATGATTTATAAACATATTTTAATCATTCAGTAAAAGTTTATAATTTTCCCTTTATTATTGTGTATACGATAAGCAAATGAAAAATTAAACATGGGAATCATCAAATAAGCTTTAAATAATCTTTTTTGATTTTTCTGTGTTTTTGTTTGCACCAATTAGTTGTAAAACTTTAAAACAATCCATATTGAAAAATCTTGCTAATTTTGATTATCCAGAATGTGATTTTCCCTTTTGAACCTTATTTATAACCGAGACAAATTTTGTTTGTCCAGATATGAATATGATTTGAATGTTACTAAATCAAAAACATTTCCAAGACATCTATTAAGTCCAATATTTTGTAGCTTTCATTTATCACAAACAAATGTTGAAGAATATATTTACCCCTGTGTATTTATCGTTTAGTTTACATATTGCCTCCTCTCTTGAAATAGTTGGGTTGAACCACTGTGGGACCATAATACCCTAAACAAATATTTTATGTAAATAAAATAGATATTTTTATAAAAAAAACTCCTCCCTTATTTTGGTAAAACAATATGATTCTAGAGACCAGAATGCAGTTATTAATGTTTCATTTTTTGAATCACTTACAAAACGTTTCCTTACAGAACGTTTCCTTACTGAACGATTCCTTACCAAAAGTTTCCTCAGAAAACGTTTCCTTACAAACTGTGTCCTTACTGAATGTTTCCTGCCACCAAACGTTTCCTGCTACAAAACGTGTCCTACCACAAAACGTTTCCTGCTACAAAACGTTCTCTGTCACATAAAGTTTCCTGCTACGAAACGTAAAACGTTTCCTGCTATAAAAAGAAATATGTATAGAGCTCTGAAGTTAGAATCTTTGTTTTATGAATCAAGGGATCAGACATTGATCTCATTGATTAAATTAATAAGTGTCCACATTGGATTACAAGATCAAACATTCAAGATTTATAATATCCACAAAAAGTTTGTATCTTTGCATTCTTTAATTAACAAATAAAGACGACATATGACAATGGTATTGGAAGAGACTTTAAATAAAAAATGTTTTCATAAATATAGATTTAAAATAGAATTTCAATAGCTATCAGCAGCAATAGCAGTACTTTAGATTTGAGTTATACAACTATTATGGATGTCTTTATGTCCTGTCATAAAGTAAAAATGTTTAAAGTCTTGTGTTTTATTTTCTTTTGCATTCAATTCTTAACCAAATCTAATTTATACTATATATATATATATATACTATATACTATACACACCATTTTTTATGAATATAATTGGAGCCTAACACTTTTACTACACGTTAACTGTCAGAACCCAGCAAAAGTTGAAAGTTGAAAATCTAAAATAAACCAATAGTTTAGAGAATTGAAGATTAATCATGTAGTACCGGTACGATGTTATTGTACAGTAGTAAGCAAGGATTACAAATTATTACATAAAACCAATAGTGAAGATCCAAAATTTTACTTTTCTTAGTTATAGTCTGTCTGTATTCAAGGGATTGAAACTCATAAACCTTCTCGAGTAATGTTTTTTATTTTATATTATTTTAAATATATTTTGTAATACAAAAAGAAATTAGTGAACTAAAGCAGAAGCGGAGAAAATCCCAGGTGTAAAAGATACAGTTGTAAACAAAATGTTTATATATTACAGTAATAACCAGAAAACTCCGAAATAGGAAGACGACTTTTAGACTCTAAATATGACTTTAAATAGTCCAATCAGCATGAGACACAGCAATTATGCAATGTAAACAGACCCATTACAGATAACTAGTGTCTAGTAAAACTATTTGCTTTGTAACACTGAAGTATTGCTTTCAAGTCGTCTTCCTATTTCGTAGTTTTCTGGTTATCACTGTAGTAAATTCAAAAATGGTTTAAAGGTATAATTTTCCAACGTATCTAAATCGTTCGAATTTTTCCATCTCGTTCGAAATCTTTCCATTTCGATCAAAATCTTTCCATTGCATTCGAAATCTTTCCATTTCGTTCGAAATCTTTCCATTTCGTTCGAAATCTTTCCATTTCGTTCAAAATCTTTCCATTTCGTTCGAAATCTTTCCATTTCGTTCGAAATCTTTCCATTTCATTTGAAATCTTTCCATTTCGTTCGAAATCTTTCCATTTCATTTGAAATCCTTCCATTTCGTTCAAAATCATTCCATTTCATTTGAAATCTTTCCATTTCGTTCGAAATCTTTCCATTTTGTTCGAAAACTTTCCATTTTGTTCGAAATCTTTCCATTTCGTTCGAAATCTTTCCATTTCTTTCGAAATTTTTCCATTGCATTCGAAATCTTTCCATTTCATTCGAAATCTTTCCATTTCGTTCGAAATCTGGCCATTTCGTTCGAAATCATTCCATTTCATTTGAAATCTTTCCATTTCGTTTGAAACCTTTACATTTCATTCAAAATCTTTCCATTTTGTTCGAAATCTTTCCATTTCGTTCGAAATCTTTCCATTTCGTTTCAAATCTTTATATTTCGTTCAAAATCTTTCCATTTCTTTCGAAATCTTTCCACTTCGTTCGAAATAAAAATTACAGAGGATGAAGCGAAAGAAAGCTGAAAAAGCATGAAAAGCTATTCCATGATGATTTTTTTATTTTTAAAGATTATTTTGTATTTATCTCAATTTCTGAGAAATTGTCTCATCCTAACCCTTTATCCATGCATGCAAAGAGATCATTTTAATAATTATATGATAATTATTCTGTTATTATGATTGAAACTTATCATTTAACAATTATCGAAGTCCGATATTAATAGAAATAAGACAGATTTGTATAATGCAATGGATTAATGGAATCTTTAATAAAAATTTATATATTTCGAGGCAATGTCGGTCATTTTTTAAAAGTTTAATTTTATTTTATGAATAAAATTCGAAAGGGAATAAGCACATTTCCTCTCAAATGACACACATTTTTAAGGCTTCATTTTAACTGCACTTATTAAACATTAATTTATTTTTAAAAAAATAGAAGAAAAAAAATATTTCCCTTTCGCAATCACAACTCCAAAATATAAACACAAGGAAGAATTATTTCTCTTTAAAAACAGTACCTAAACCTAATGGACTCGATCGGCACAATTTTGGCGCTACTTTTATAATGCAAAACATAGTTCTGCAGATTGAAGATTGCAAACCATTTCTGTATCAGGAATCCTGTAGATTTCAGGCATAAAACTAGGCCTAATTCAGACGTTAGCTCAATCCTTGATTAGGCCTGAATTAAGGCTTGATGCATGTACAGTGTACAGTGTACACCCTAGAATGTGAGGGGTAATTTATTATTCAAACAAAAGCTGGGATGGCATGAATAGGTAAAATGGCGGGAAGCCCAAAATATTTGATCGAAACAAACTGTTGATGCCTGAACGGGATGATAATTAAGATTTGCTGATATCAAAATATTAGGATAATCTATCAAGAACTGATCGTGAAGAGACTTTAACGAATGACCTCATAGCTTGCCTTCTTTCATTTATTTACATATTAATTTTTTTATTTATTTCATCCTTTCATTTTTTCAATCCTTTCATTTATTATATCCTTTTATTTATCCTATCCTTTCATTTATTCTATCCTTTCATTTATTCCATTCTTTAATTTCTTCAATCCTTTAATTTAATCTTTTCATTCATTTATGCCAACATTTCATGTATTCCATTCTTTCATTTATTCCATCCTTTCATTTATTCCAGCCTTTGCATTTATTTTATCCTTTCATTTATTCCATCCTTTCATTTATTCCATTCTTTAATTTCTTCAATCCTTTAATTTAATCTTTTCATTCATTTATGCAAACATTTCATGTATTCCATCCTTTCATTTATTCCATCCTTTCATTTATTCCAGCCTTTGCATTTATTCTATCCTTTCATTTATTCCAGCCTTTCATTTATTCTATACTTTCATTTATTCCATATTTTCATTTATTCCATATTTTCATTGAATCTATCTGTTACAACGTAAAAATTTACAAACATGAACCATCCTTTCTATCTTATCTAATCAACAAAGATTTAAAGATGAACGTTTCAACAGAAGCCATTGTTAGCAGGCAAACAATACATTGTAAATATAAATAAACAAACTTGGTTTCGATCTAGTGTCACGACTCATCGAAATACATATTCACACCAACACAAGAAAATAGAATCTTAATTTCTAAAGTATGTAGTTAAAAAATTTAGTAAAATAACGTTTATGAAACTAAATTGTTGATAAGAATAACAAAAATAAGTTTTTAATCGGATGAAAGCAATGCAGTTCCAAAATTGGATTACGAGAAGAATTGGTTTAAATCTAACATTTAGTTTAGTTAAATTGGATTTATAAACTGCTGAGTTTAATTCAAGCATTCTTCAGAGGTCAATGCTGGTTCATTATTTTAGGATGATAAATAATAAGTTTAGAAGAGATATAGAGGGGGGGGGGTTAGATACTCAACTCTAATACAACTTAATTATTTTTTTCATTCTTACTTTGCTAGACTAATAGAATAATTTCTGATGATATTTATTAAAATAAACTTGAAAGAAAAAAGTTAAAATACAGGGTTACCCAAAAAGATTGAGACTGCAAAGACGACCGGAAGCTCCCCAGTTTAAATTAAGTATACTGCCTTAATATAGTATTTTAATGACTTAATTAATGATCTGGTAAAGAAAGAAGCAAGTTTACAGCTGTCATGGAAATCATGAATATGAAGAAACTGATAGTATATTCGATTTTTTTTCATTGTTATTCTGATAAATTTGAAATGGGAAGGTTTCCTGAAAATAAATCGACATCCCCTTCCTTGATTTTATTAAGGGTGAACCGTGAATAAATCAAAAATAAATCGATTTCTAACTTTTGATTTTTATTAAAAGACCTAGACAAATTCTTCAAAATATCAAAGGTTTAAATTTATTCTTAACAGACCAAGTTTTGCACTTTTTGTTTTCATCTTCTGTCTCATTCGCTTTTCATTTCATTTCAGAATTGTATCTTATAAAGTTCTCTTTTTCTTTTCAAATATTGCTATTCATTAACTACGTCAGCTGACAGCATAGAAATATTTTCTCGCCATTTTTATACGTTAACATTATTCCTTGATTATTTTTTGCTTTTAAAATTCTTTCAAATTACTTGTGAGAATTGTGACTTCCAATTATCGGTTATTTTATCTTAATTATCTTTTTAAGTATTTAACAAAATGATCTTTTCTTTTCAGGTTTTATTATACTAGACTGTAAACATTGTCCTTGTGTCATAAATAGTTTATGTTTGGGAGACATAGGCCTATAACTAGGCTATAACTATGCTATAACCAGGCTATAAATACCCAATGAGTCCAAGAATGGATTTTAGTAACTGCGTATTAAAGAAGCTTATGGAGAAAAAAGAATAAAATACAACAAAGATTTAATGGTTGAGGATCAATAGGGTTGATCCAGCAGATTGTGAACAACAAGTATTATTGTAGATTTGCAGGTTTTTTGGGAAGGTTAACCTACTCATTAGCGATCACCTAATTGGTTTTGAATCAATTAATTAATAATTAAGATTGAAGGTCACATGTCGTTTATTTTGGTTGATTTTACGGCTGAAACTTCTAATTTATCATGGTGGGGAGATCAGCTGATAAATCATGGGGAAGAAATCAGCTGATCTATCTTGGCGGGGAGATCAGCTAATTTTTCAAAGTGGAGAGATCAGATACTCTATCATGGTGGAGAGATCAGCTGATCTATCTTGCTGGAGATGCCAGCTGATGTATCATATAGAGAGATCAGTTAATCTTTATATATGGGGAAGAGCTCGGCTAGATTTTAATTTTGGAGATACAACTTATCAGCTCGTCTATCATGGTTGATAGATCAGCTGATCTTAAATTTTGGAAAGATCACATGATGTATAATGTTGGAAAAATAAAATGATCTATCATGTTGGAAAAATAAGATGACTGATCATTTTGAGGGAATCAGTCAATAAATTATAGACTATTTGTTTAAACATTAAGGTTAATATATAAAAGAGTTCTTTGAGTAGGCGGTTACTGGTTTACCGGCAAAATATTTAATAATTGAAGATCAGTTCTTCAACTTAAACCTGATTTTAACTAATTTCTTATATGGCGGAGCTAATTAGAAACAACACAATTCTCATTATCTTTTATGCAACTAATTGAACATGTCGTTAATATTTGAAACAATCAATCAATATCCACCCCCTACATGAGTATTTTAAAAATATCATATTTTGAAATAAAAGTTTAAGCAACAGAAAAGCAAAAGAAATGTAATACCATTATCTTTGCATTCTGATGGTGTTAACCTTTAATGCCTAAAACTTAGATGATATAGCAGTTTTCAAAGAAAAAAAAACTCTAAGGTCTAAGACATGAAGTTGCAAAAACAAAAATATTAGAAAATTAAAATTAGATATTTATCAATCGTAAAAATATAATCGTAAAAATGAGGTACTTAAATAATAACGTATCTACTGAATACTGATCCAAACCTGAACCAGCAAAAATGTCAGTAAAGGTTTAATTTCTACTTTGTATTTTAGATATATTAAAGAAAAATAACGTTTTTTCATGGTTTAGTAGTAGCTTATATTTATATCAAAACAACAATGCTTTAAAATCTTTTTTTTTAAAGCATATTGTGCTTATAATATCTTGATATAATGAATAATGAATTTATTTTAAACAACTTTAATTAATTATCTAAAAATACTTTTAAAAAAAGTTTAAAAATTAAAGAAAGACTAAAAGATATAAAAATAGAGGATGTGGCAAGCTCTATATATATATAATGTATATAGTTATATATATCTGATCTACTAAAGCTGGGGTTGGTGTATGTTGAATTGAATTGCCCCAAGCACCCATCCTTGTCGTTTATATTTCTAAATAATTCCTCAGTTTTAAAATGCCACGCTTATCAAACTGTCTGGATTAATTGTACATAATCGGGCTGGGGTCAGTACTGTACATAACAGTAAGTATTGTAAGCCAGGATCATAAAACATTTATTTCTAAACCTCACCTGTACAGATTCTTATGTACGACAAAAAGTATTTTTGATCGTGCAGTTCTTAAACTCACCTGTACAGAGTGTTATGTTCTGCAAAAGGTATTGTTGATCGTGTTCTTGAACTCACCTGTACAGTGTACGTAATGTACTGCAAAAAGTATTTTTTATCGTGTTCTTGAACTCACCTGTACAGAGTGTTATGTACTGCAAAAGGTATCGTTGATCGTGTTCATAATCTTACCTGTACAGTGTACGTAATGTACTGCAAAAAGTATTTTTTATCGTGTTCTTGAACTCACCTGTACAGTGTGTAATGTACTGCAAAAGGTATTGTTGATCGTGTTCTTAAACTCACCTGTACAGTGTACGTAATGTACTGCAAAAAGTATTTTTGATCGTGTTCTTGAAAACCCTTTTTTCTCGGTGCACTGATTCAAAGAAACAATTTTAGAGCTATTGGGAGATCCTTAAAAGGTCATTTTAATTTCAATTCCTAGTCCAAGCTATATTTAAATGTAACACTTTTTGAAACACTTCAATTGCTCCAAGGTATTGCTAGAAAAGATTTAATTATACTACATTTTAGTTATTAATCTTGAAGGTGAAGATTAAAAAAAAACTAAAACAAAATAGAAAAAATGTATCTAATTCTGAATTGTTCAATTTCCTTGTTTATAGTTCTAGGGAGCTTTTTCTTTCAGATCTTTTTACGTTTTCCTTTTTATTTTTCCAACTAATATATTTCAACAGTTTTTTTTGTCTAGCTACTTATATTAATTTCACATTCTCTGTAACGTTTTTCATTGCTTCTTGCAACTTTTTTTTGCAATTTATTTTGTTTGAAACCAAAATTTGCAGTTTTCGGCACTAATGGTTGAAAGTTGATAACTTTACACTGTAAAAATCTGCACTAGTCAAAATTTGCAAGGGTATTGCACTATTGACTCTGCTAGTGTATATCGCACTGTACGGACTACGGAGATGTTAACTCCCCGACACTTGCGAACCAACTGAGGTTTATAACTATAAGTGCCCACATGCCGTTGCCGTATTTGGGCACCAAAACCCAACCTCTCATTCAATACACAGGGATTTATATACACTTCACATTAATCCCACCCTTAACAATATAGAAGTATAGACTTATAGATAATGCAGTATTCTAAACAATACAGAATTGAAATATTTATTTAAAGATGAACGAAATTGATGAAAAAGACAATAATCTACATATATTGACGAATCTCATCTGCGTTCTCTGATATCTATCTATCCTGGCTATATACCTCTATAGATCTATGATATATTTAACTATAAGCTATCTCTAGTATATAATGTTATGAGACGGGGAGATGGATATCAAACAGTCTTTATGTCATTTTAAACTTGCGTCAAATAGTATTTGGTATCTATCTATCTATCTATCTATCTATCTATCTATATTTCTAACTAACTATCTAAAACAAAATTTTTTGTAGAAAACTCTAAATATCTCATGTTTATTAATTTAGGAGGAGTAAATCCGAACGTTGATAATATTAACAAAAAAATCTAACTTTAGGAAAGGGTGCAAATCAAACGTTTTTTTCTAATATGTATTTTATCAAAATTTCATTTATCATTACAATATTGTAGTTTAAAAGGTAAAAAATGTAAGCAGCCTTATAAACAATAATTTCCCCAAAACTTCTTATTGATTTTTAAGTATACAGGGTGATTTTTAACAGTCGATTTTTCATTAGAGGCTCAGTATGAGACCAGTGTCATTCCTTTGTCATTTGTAAATTTACAACAAAATTGTCATATATACATAAATTGTAATTTGTATTTAATTCATGTAGATGTTTATGGATAAAAATATAAAATTAAGTGAAGGATTTGTAAATTGTAAATGCCTAAGCGTATAATTTTTTTAAATGTTCACAAAAGCAAAACAAGGTATTAACATTGTTAATCTTTACTTAAAGACTAAGCGAGGAAATTGTATTCTACAAGAGATAGGATCCATCAAACTTATTACAACTGGTCAAAAACCATATTTCAAAATTTTTGACAAAAATAATTTTAGGGAGAAAATAGAGAAAAATGCCGTTTATTTGACACATTTTGAACTCATAAAGGGAGACCTAAAATATTTTGGTCTACTACATTTGTTTGCAAAGATTTAGGGATTAGAAAATCTGAGTTTCTGGCAAATACTCCATTCCTTTTAAAACTAACAAATCTTTGATCAAAGTTGAAAAAATATGAATTCAACAATCTTAAACAGTATTTTATATTCGCAGAAGAAGCAAAGACATATTAATGTACTAACTTTCTATACATATATATATATATATATATATATATTTTTATTTTGAAAACTTACACTCCTTATATTTTTCTAATGGTAGATATGTATCTAACATCTATTTACGCCTAAATACTATCCCAATCCCCTTCAACTAGCTATAACCTTGATTTCCATAACCTAACTGCGAGCTATCTATCTATCAATCTATTTATATTTTGGTTTAACTTCACGAGTTATCTTCTTAAGTTATCTGTGCATCAATATGTCAGCACACATTTTCAGGCTGTCAGCCCCGGGGCTTTCTACACCAAATAATCAACATTTTTACCAGTTCTAATTATTTTTATTTTACAGAATTTAAAAACAAGTTTTACTCTAAATATTTTTTGTTTAAATCCCAAGTATTCCTAGTTTGCTTTTTTAGTTTTAGATCTTTGTTTTAATCTAACATTTTTTTTCTTAATATCATTCATTTAAACGTTGTTTAACCGTAAGTTGTTTACCCCCAGGCCATCGTTGTTATTGCCCCTCATATGCATCGTTGTTGTTGTTTCCACCCCCTCGTTGTTGTGGGATAGATCTACAGCAATTAATCAGCTGTGAGTTCATAAGGTTACACGACACCAATCCAACATAGTGTTTAATCACTCCAACCCATCCTTCCATCTTAGAAACATTCACTCCAATCCTTCCATCTTAGATACAATACACTACCATCCTTCCATCTTAGATACATTCACTCCCATCCTTCCATCTTAGATACATACACTCCCATCCTTCCGTCTTAGATACATTCACTCCAATCCTTCCATCTTAGATACATTCACTCCCATCCTTCCATCTTAGATACATTCTCTCCAATCCTTCCATCTTAGATATATACACTCCCATCCTTCCATCTTAGATACATTTACTCCCATCCTTTCATATTAGAAATATTCACTCCAATCCTTCCATCTTAGATACATACACTCCCATCCTTCCATCTTAGATACATTTACTCCAATCCTTCCATCTTAGATACATATATATGCATACCAGACTGCTTATCAGAAGAGAAAATTTTACAAGTACATTAGACTGCTTAAACGTTATTTCCGATAAGATGACATCTCAA